TGTGTGTGTGTGTGTGTGTGTTTGTGCGCGCGCGCGTGTGCGCTCGTGTGTGTGTGTGAATGGTGTATATGTACAGTATGAATATGTACAGTAATATGTACATGAGTGCATGAGTGTAAATTTGTAGGTGTGTATATATGTACTGTGTGTGCTTGTGTGTGTTGGTGTGTATGTTGAAAGGCTTTTTTGTATCGTATTGTAATAATTTAAAGTCCAGATAAAAAAAATTACACTCACGTCAGACTGTTCATAAAATAACCTAACCAGGTAACAGCAACTTGTTTATTCATCTCCACAATCACCATATTACCTTTCACAGATGATACACCAACCTGATCTGGTTGAGGGATAACTAAAATTCTTTCTTTTAAGAAGTTTTGAAAATGGGCGAAAAGGTCAACATGTCAGAATTTAGGTCAACATGTCAGATTTCAGAGGCCTTTTAATTTGAAATGGGACATCAGAGCCCTATGAGGCTAGTCTGGTTGGAATGCCTTGGCCGCCCTAGTATGTCCGAGGCCTGGTCTGGTTGAGAGATAACGAAAATGATTTCTTTTAATATGTTTTAAAAATGGGCAGAAAGGTCAACATGTCAGAATTCAGGTCAAGAAGTCAGAATTCAGTTCAGATTGTCAGTTTTCAGAGGCGTTTTATTTTGAAATGGGAGATCAGATCTGAGCGAGGGTAGTCTGATTGGCTACCTGGGGTGCTCGAGTGTCCTAAAGACCTCGTCTGATTGAGGTACAACTAAAATTCATTGTTAAATTATTTTTTTAATAAGGCAAGGAGGTCAAAATGTTATTTTATTTTAAAATGGAACATCAGATCTGAATGCCTGTACTATGGTTGGAAACCTGGGGTGCCCTTGTGTGTCAAAATCCTGATGCGGTTGTGGGATAACCGAGATTCATTTTTAATGATTTTTTTTTTTTTTTAATATCAGGTGAAATTGATGTAGAATTACAATCGACTTTATTTTCTATCTCCACTTGAGAACACTTCTTGGCGCTGTTCTGAGAGTTCTTATTCTTCATGGGTGAACTTATCGTTGCCCGAGAGCCAAGAAATTACTTATTTCATATTTTTATATTTTTTAATTGCAAACAACTGACATGCATGCATTAGTTGTGACGCTTTTATTTTGAAGGTGGCCAACACCGCTCGCTGGCGGCAGATTACCGTAATGCACAGTATTGGCAATCGCAGTGGCGGCTCTGCAGCTGGATGCAATTGGCTCACTTTACTTCAATTTTGCGAGTTGAGGCTGGCTTGACCACAGAAGTGTTTTACGGTAAATTTATTTGGAAAAAAAATTCCAAGGTATCATAAATCTGCAGTCGCTGATTGTGTAGTGGTGCACTAGCCTGCCTTGTGAGCGGGCAGCGTGCTATCGCTCCCCACTTCGTGACGGTGTGTATGTGGGGGTCAGTGGTTGTTCGTCTCTGTATCATTCCTTGCGACTGACTGGCAACCAGTTCAGGGTGTAGTCTGACTTCGCATTAAGTCTCCTAGGATAGCCTCCAGCACCCCACGCGACCTTGTTCAGGATAAACGGTGTTGAAAATGGATGGATGAATAATAAATGTGATGTATGAAAGGGGGAGACAGAATGCCTTTTTCTTAGCCTCCTGACTACCAGTAGTTCAAATTTGTCCTCTGTAGAGGACATTTGTAAACCTAAATATCTCCCACCCAGTGCATCCAATTGCATTAATTCCTTTTGTTACTCTAAAGAGGACATTTAGTGCTTTCCAATGATACCAAATTTGTAGGGGTTAGAAAAAGTTAGAAAATGGCTTCCCTCAGTGCAAGCACTTTTTATGGGAAGAGGAAAAGTAATACTTTTTACCAAACACATTTTGTCTTGAAATGCTGTTGGCATTTTAATTATAAGACTCTTATGAACATGTTAAAGTGTTGTTTGAGTTGTTTTAAGTGTATTTGAGCCTGTTTAAAAAATGTAGTGGGATTTCAAAAATTTCTTTTGGAGTAGTCCAATTACTTCACATAGATTGGGGAATTTCAAAATAAATGTGATTGGACAACATTTTTTTCCCTGGTAGTCAGGAGGTTAGACCCATAGAACTTTTAAAATTGCGTAATTGCATCCGTGTTCTACCGCACCCCAAGTTTTACTTCAAAAACACTGTCATCAGAACTGTCAAATTATGTGCAGATGGCACAAAAAGACAACCAATGAGGACGAAATGGAATGTTAAAATGCTCAAACTGCGAGCAGTCACTAATGGAAGCCTGCTGTATTTGAGTAACGGGACAAACAAATTCCAGCGCCTCCTCGCTGTGCTCAACAAGAAAAGATTGGGTCTCAGAGCAAAATAAATTCAACAAACAAAAGATGATTTCTCTTACCGGATTATAAAACGGCGTGTGTTGAGGGTAAGCCATCATACAAGGAATGTTTGCGTTGCGTGAAGCTGTGAGAAGCTGTGACAGATGATACACAAGAATAAGTTTCAATTCCGCTGAAAGTTTCGATTTTGTGATACGTGGGCGGGACTCAGGGACAAACTGCAGGCCACTTGCGGGATTTCTCGTCAGAAGGATGTTGACGCGAGTTACAAAAATTCGCCTTTTCTGGTTATTAACTCCAAGTAATGAATGACTGTGAATATAACTCGATTTGATTAAATGCTGAGATGTTCCATGTGATAAGTATTGTTGGCCAACTTTTAGTTAAAGATCAACTGAATGTGCCGATAACATCACCAGATCATCTGACTGTTTATTGACAGTTGTGAAACAAGTGAATGATTGCGACCAAAGTCTCGTCATTTGAGTGTGACTGGATGTCGTTTCCTTGTTCTATTTTTAAATTTCAGACCTTTATAACATTTTGCATTGAGATGGAGGCAAGTGATTCGCCGTGGCAACCCCTGAAGGGAAAAGCCAAAGGAAAAGAAGATAACATTTTGCATTCATTTCCATTTGAAAACCAAAATATGTCTCACAAGGCTTTTGTTGCATTTTCATGCATATGTCAAAAGTGGTATTTAAGGTATACTGAGTGAATCGTGATACCACACACACGAATGATACACAGATATATCCATAAACATTAAAATTTCATTTACCACTTTACGAGTGTCTGTAAGAATGTTTTAATTATTGTTTAAAACAAATTAGTTGAGCAACAGTTTGTAAATTCTTTACAGCCCTTTAGTTAACAGCGGTATGAGTTATTTATTTTTTGGGGGGGTGGGAGGGCTAAATAGTCAGCCATACGCGTGAAATGTACCACAAAATGTGGATTACTTTGCTTGTTTGGATTGTCGTGCATGATTTTAATCAATTGTTTGTCATGATCTGTGTTTTGTGGACTTTTGGATTGTTTTGGCTTGATTTTCTTTCATTTTTCATGCATATGTCAAAAGTGGTATTTAAGGTATACTGAGTGAATCGTGATACCACACACACACGAATGATACACAGATATATCCATAAACATTAAAATTTCATTTACCACTTTACGAGCGTCTGTAAGAATGTTTTAATTATTGTTTAAAACAAATTAGTTAAGCAACAGTTTGTAAATTCTTTACAGCCCTTTAGTTAACAACGGTATGAGTTATTTAATTTTTTGGGGTGGGAGGGCTAAATAGTCAGCCATACACGTGAAATGTACCACAAAATGTGCATTACTTTGCTTATTTGGATTATCGTGCATGATTTTAATCAATTGTTTGTCATGATCTGTGTTTTGTGGACTTTTGCATTGTTTTGACTTGATTTACTTGCGTTTCATTTTCTGTCTTGCTTTTCTGTGTCCCACATTCATGGTTTTGTATCCACCTGTTCTCATCAACCGTATTAGTGAAGTAGTGTTGTGGAAAATAAAGACATGTCTCGGTGGCTGTGAAAGTGGCGAGTCAATATATTTCCTGAAAGCACAGTTTATAAATTACATATTGGGCATCTTACCTCATGTACAAGTACAGTCACCCTTGAGCCAAACGTGTCTCATACCAGTCATACCACAGTGGTGGCTCATGCTCTCATCAAACTTGGGCCAAGTGAAGTATTAATCTTTCTCCAATATAATTTCCGTGTTTTGGGATCGTTTCATCCCCAAACAAAACAGTCATGCCCCAATACAAGGATGGATGGATGGATGTCATCCAACTTTAACCGCCTCCTTCCGTGAATGTGGCTCTTGGGTTGTCATCGTCGTATTCCGTCCTTACACGTGGGTCTCCAACGGATCCCGTTCTTCAATCTCTGCTCTTGAAAACAAAAACACATCTTACCCCAAAACAGATGCTCTGACTGCCAACTTCTTTTTGATTTTCGACAACCCCTTGACATTCTTCCCCAACGTTGGAATGTTCATTGATCTATGAACTGTGCCAAATAATCATATTCTTCTTGCACGTGTAGCTAAGTTCATCATATGAAAGGAAAGACACCAGCTGTCCACTGGTCGGGTCACACTCGACCACAAACGTGAGTTTGCACCTTTTCGCTAGTGTGTATCCTGCAAACTCTGCTGCAGCTGCAATAATTTGGACTGAGTTGATAAACAAATGTATCATTTCAAGCACCAGAATGAAATTATCCGCGGTAGAGGAAAAGGGGCAGTTCCTGAGTGTGCCCAGCACTTAACCTTCATTCTGGGTTCTGGTTTAAAATCAGAATGTAATGTGTAGTCTCCAAACTTGCACTGTCCATATATTGAAAATACTATGTAGACTGCATGCTTGATTGAGATTTAGTGAAATGACCGTAAACTATTAAAATGTAAAAATTATTCAAAACAATTGCCTTTGCGAAAGATTGAAAGTGAAATTAGGTCAAGTTGGCATTATTGCATTACTTACTAGTCGACCTTTCAATAGGATGGATGGAGACCATGAAAACAAATCTACAAATAGAACTCGATTAGTCATGGTGGTGGACAACAAAAATGGTGTCACTCCTTTTTCCTCTCCGTCTTCCAAGCGCGACTCTGACTGTCCCCATCGAGCTCATCCTCAAATTCTTGGATCTGAATTCTTTCTCACTCTGTCCTGATCGGAGTGCTCCAGGTTGAGACAATATGAGTGGTTGTCTTTTCTCATCATTTGCTAAGGAGCTTGATCTTTTTCTGCGTAAAGGTTCAATACTGTAACAGTAACAATTTGCATCTTACATAGCCAGCTGCTGTTCTACATGAATGGCATCAGGAGCACATTGGGTGTGTGTGTGTGTGTGTGTGTGTGTGTGTGTGTGTGTGTGTGTGTGTGCGTGTGTGTATGTGTGTGTGTGTGTGTGTGTGTGTGTGTTCTTGCAGTACGGCCACAAAATAAATTTGTGTCAAAGGAGCAAAAACTAACATTTACTGCATCTTTTAATAGCTTGACAAAGTGTTCAGATATCAACTTTAATGTGTTCAATTAAAGCCGTGATGTTTTGCACAAATCCTCTGTAAAATCCCCTCTCCCAAAAACTCACAACACACTTATACGTTGTACATGTCATGCTTTTTTTTCCAATCCAAAACTGTTCCCATTTATCTGAATAACTTTCATCAACATTTCCCAAGGATGAAGAAATAAAGCACAATTTCATCCCCTACTTTGAGCATTGCACAATAAGTTCTTTAGAAGCAGGTCAGTGAGCTATTTGACTGCAAGTGTGACAATTTAATGACTTTTCCCACTATATTTGGCATCAACAAATCATCACTGTCGGGCATAAATCTTCTCTGTCCAAATTTGGTAATTCTCATATATTTATTGATACTTGTGAGAGTCCCCACGTGGGTCTCTTATTTTGACAAATTGGTGGTAATCTAAAGTGTAGAAAATGCCTTGCCCTCTTTGACGATCCATTGTTAATGTCTCAACAAATGTTTTTTTGTTTCTTGAAAAGTGACAGTTTGGATGATGCCAGGATAGCAACGACGCGAATGATCGGTCAGAGAGCCAGCATTTACTGTAATCCCTAAATCCCCAAAATTATATTTTGTCAATTTAGTGTGGGGGATCCGTATGTATATATGGTGCATGTAGCGAACAAGCGTAAACATTCATTGCCAAACACAGATACTGCGTTTGCATAAGTCATTGAAACATCAATTTTCTAAAATGTCCTCGTTTAAGGTATTCTGAAAATCAAGGTGGACTAATAAATACATTTAAACAGCAGCTCAGCTTATCTCTGTATATACATATGTACATATACATTAAGTAAACCATGTCAACCATCAATGCCAATATTATTAGGCGTACCGAAGAAAAGATTGGCATACATGTTAAGAAGAGAAGCTAAAGCCGGTGAGATGAATCTGGCAGCCTCTGAGCTATGAAGCTTTGCAATAGAGGATGTGGTGGCGAAAATCCTGTTGCAACAGTTAAAGGTGAAGTAAAAGGAGGAAGCAATCACGTTATTAGGAACAATTGAGCAGTTTAACACATCACAAAATATATCACTTGCAGACAGTGTGACATTTATGTCACTCCCAGACTCCTTAATTTTAATGTGATTTTTAATTTACTTTACGGGCGGCCCGGTGGCCCAGTGGTTAGTGCGTCGAGCTCACAGTGCAGAGGCACCGGGTTTGATTCCAGCTCCGGCCTTCCTGTGTGGAGTTCTCCCCGTGCTTGCTTGGGTTTTCTCCGGGTACTCCGGCTTCCTCCCACATTCCCAAAATATGCATGGCAGGCTGATTGAATACTCTAAATTGCCCGTGAGCGCGGATGGTTGTTCGTCGTGTGCCATGGCAACCGGTTCAGGGTGTCCCCCACCTCCTGCCCGAAAACAGCTGGGATAGGCTCCAGCACCCCCCGCAACCCTTGTGAGGATAAAGTGGATAAGAAAATGGATGGATGGAATTTACTGTACATATTATTATAACTTCTTAAGGGGAAATTCAATTTAGACTCTGCTTTAGATATTCTGACAACTGATCTAAATATTCATCTTGATTTTTTCCCCCCCATAAAATTTATTAACATACTTTCAAGGAAATTGAATAGCAAGCTAAATGAGTAACCACAGCGGACATGATAAAATGCCAAATTGTATTATATAGACATAATGTTAAATTTAAGGTTTCTGAAAAATTGGAAATTTCACGTTGCTAATTGGGCATAACAATTGGTGTTTTCAAAAGCAATGTCCCATTTGCACGTCACACTTTCAGCGCACTGAGCTATGAGTGTGTGCCGTAGCCTGTAGAAGATACCAATGCTTGTGAGAGGACGATATTACAGTCAACAAAGGTCAGTGTGAAATTGAAGCGCATAGAATGAAGCGAAACATTGGGATCTGAAATCATGAACACGGTGATCAGGTACAGCAGGAGACTGTGGATCAGTCAGTTAGCGGTGAAAATCAGACTATTCCACAAAAGGGACAATTACCAAACTTCGGCAGTCACATTAAAAAAAGTCCCCAATTGTCCATTAATAATTGCAATAGAGCTTCATCAGACCTCTCCCCAACAAAATCATATCCTCCCTATGGCAGTTCATTTCCTCCCGTTTCAAACTCCATTCTTGCGTATCACTGTGAGTGAATTTTGGTGATTGTTGGGTGGACTCCCGTTTTCTATGATACATACTCAGGAGACTTCTAGAAGTGTCCAGGGTGGGAGAGCCTGCGGTTCAGTTTCGGCAGCCTGTCCAACATACCAGCCAGCTGGGTGAAGGTCGGCCTGTCATTTATTTCAAAAGACCAGCAAGCAGAAAGGATCTCCTGTTGTGGCAGAAAATTGAGATGTGCAGCATGAGTTGTTACAAACTGATAGATAACTTCCCCACTTCAACTATGACTGCGTATATCAGGCGTTCGGCAATCACCATGAACGGTTTCAAAAATGTTTTATTACTTTTATTGGATTCAAATTGGAGCTGCGGGGGCAGTATTGTTCACTTATGGGCAGGATTATATACTTATTACCACTTCTCAGCACAGTGTATTACCAAACAAAATTCATAAATGATCAATTAATTCAAATATTTTAAATAGACTGAGTTTGAATATGGCTGGGGGCGGGGGGGGGGGGGGGGCGGGTTCGACTCCAGCCTAGCATCTATTGTGAAATTTGTCTCTTGATTGATGTACAGGTCAGTTAGTTATACACCTGCCGCATGCGCTTACAAGAGCGCTACCCGGCAAAACTAGCTTACTGGCAGTTGCCATTTTATTCCGTCTATTCTAAACTTAGGCGGCCCGGTAGTCGAGTGGTTAGCGCGTCGACTTCACAGTGCAGAGGTAACGGGTTCAATTCCAGCTCCGGCCTTCCTGTGTGGAGTTTGCATGTTCTCCCCGTGCTTGCGTGGGTTTTCTCCGGGTCCTCCGGTTTCCTCCCACGTTCCAAAAACATGCATGGCAGGCTGATTGAACCAAATTATCCCTCGGTGTGAGTGTGAGCACGAATGGTTGTTCATTTCTGTGTGCCCTGCGATTGGCTGGCAACCGGTTCAGGGTGTCCCCCACCTACTGCCCGAAGACGGCTGGGATAGGCTCCAGCACTCCCCGAGTGAGGATAAAGCAGTTCGGAAAATGAATCAATGAATGAATATTCTAAACTTAATACAACGATTTAGGTGTAGCCAGGAGGAAACGGGCGATACGCTTGGGCGTGCGCTCGCCCTTTCGCCGGTGCTGGAAAACGACCTGCAGCCGAGGCGAAAAGTGTGCTGTACGCCTAAGCACTTATTCTGGTCTTTCGCGATCCAGCATTTCACATTAGCTTGGCAATGAGCATTAGCTTCTCCATCTTATTTTTGCTAGGCACGTTGCATGCTTAGTTTACCCCTCGTCCGCCTTTAGTAATACCGATAATACTTGTCAACAAATCATTAATCATCGAAGCAGGCAAACTTGTAGCTTTTTTTTTTCCCGATTCCAAATCTGCCCTTAACCTGAGAATTTTTTCTTTCGCACATCAGGTTTTCATAATAATAATAATAATAATACAAAAATCTATTAATGTATAATATGTAATATGTAATAATATATATGGATTAAGGGTTGGGTTCATTTTGTATTTCTTTTCTGAAACACCATAGCTAGAAACTACACATGGTAAAATCCATATTGTACATGTTCTGTGGATTTGGTTTTGATTTGAGTTTTTCTGGTGTTTTCATGTGACCCTCTTGTCTGTCCCTCTCATTACATTATTGTGTCAACCTGTGCTGGTCCATCCAGTCCCATTTGTCAACCAATCAAGTCCCTCAGCCACTTGTGTCTTGTCCAGGTGTTCCAAGTTGTCACATCAGTTTGTACAGTATTTAGTTCACTGCTTGCGTTCAGTCCTGGTTGGTTCATTATCCTACTCACTTCTTGTTCCTTGTTTGTCTGTTATCTGGAGCCAAGTCAAATGCCAACGTTTGTTCATTTTTTGTTTTTATTAACCCAACTACCTTGTTGGCCTTTTTGTTCTACTGCCGTTAAATTATTTTTGAGTGCTCCTTGTCGCCCTGCCTCTGGGTCCACATCGGTCTCAACCCTGACATTTAGGTCAACCTTAGGCATCGAATCTCACACGTTCAGGAGGCTATGCTAAGTACTAGCGTCTCTTTAACGCATCATATTGCGCATTTTGATTCAATTCTCTGCTTTGGTCCTCCAGTGGTGACGGCCGCGTGACCGAGCGGCTGCTGACTCGCATAGGGCGGCTTGGAATTTGTGTGAAAGCGCCGCTCACAACTGAAGTCATTCTAAGGGTGGCAGTGTTGAGTTAAATTTGGATTTTGAATTTATTTTTTTTATTTATTTATTTATTTTTTAACATAAGCCGGTTGTAAGTTTCAACTATTACGCAGGTGGGTGTGTCAGAAGCCGGGACGGCAAACTCAAAAGTGCGAAAGAAAAGCACGTAAGGAACTTACCCCTGAATTATTAGGATTATTATTAATTGTTAATCTTTTTTTTTAAGCAGATACATTGCCGAGCACAAATCACAAAGGCCTCGACTTCATCGAACATTTGAGTGTATACCAGTTTACAGAGGGTAATGCTGATAACTCTGTTGCCTAACGGTACCGTATTTTCCGCACTAAGAGGAGCACCTAAAAGCCTTCCGTTTTCTTAAAAAGCTCACAGCGCGCCTTAAAACCCGATGCGCCTTGTGTATGGTCATTATGGTAATATTTCGACCCCAAAATAGCTCCTTGAGACATGTTTACAACGCAGAGTTCAAACGTGAGGCGATCGGTTACGCAGTTGAACACAGAAATAGAGCAGCGGCGAGAGAGTTCAACGTTAATGAGTCAATGGTGCTGAAGTGGCGGAAGCAACTCGACACCCTGTGCCAGGTAAAGAAGACTAAAAAGAGCTTCCAAGCAAACACGATGGCCACAGTTGGAGGACCAACTCGAACAGTGGGTTGTTGAGCAGAGAGCAGCAAGTATTAGTGTCTGTACAGTCACGATTTGAATAAAGGCAAAAGCGCTGGCAAAGGAACTTAAAATAAATGAATTTAGTGGTCGTCCTTCTTGGTTTATGAAGAGATGTCATCTCTCTATCCGCACACGAACCACTGTTTCGCAGCAACTGCCTCAAGACTACAAAGAAAAGCTTGCCACTTTCCGCGCATACTGTAAAAATCAGTGAGAAAAGATCCGACCAGGGCATGGCGTGAATATGGATATTAACGTTTGAACAACGTTGACTTATTGTTATTGCTTTGCACTATTTCGAGCGATATTGGGCTTGCACTTTGATTTACCGTCACAATATTAGACTGTTTCCACTATGTGATCAAATGTTGCACTAACTGTTATAACTTGCTGTTGGTTCAGTAAACTGTGTTGCTGCTTTATTAAATAAGTTTTACTGACATCTGATCGTTCTGTTGGCACTTCTTTAGCGTAGCCCCATCTAGTGGATAGATTGTAGATTGCGTCTTATAATGCAGTGTGCCCAATATATGAAAAAAATTACAAAATAGGCCATTCATTGAAGGTGCGCCTCATAATCCAGTGCGCCTTTTAGTGTGGAAAATACGGTATTCTACACCAACAATCCAGCTCTACTTAGCTTTTGGCTTTGACATAATCGTGTTTCTGTGTGGCCCTGCCATTGTTGGAAAATGGCAAATCTTCACCGAGCCTAGTTTCTGACTCATCGATGGAGCAACTACATATGGGGACAGTTGTATGTAAATTCAGAACAGTTTGCTTACCGACATGTTTTCAGAAATAGGTTTGATTTACTTGGTTGTGTGATTTCACACTCCAGACTCAAACACATCATTGTGATACAACCAACGAAAAAGTGAATTTTAGAAGGAAATCTCCACTAAATGTGTCTTTTAAAACAATGTCAGGTTTCTCCAGTTTATGTTAGACTTACCGTAACTTCCTTGCCCAGGTTGGCATCTGCCTGCACCTTCTTTATGCCCTCATTGCTACCCACTAACCAGATTTTAGCTTCCACAGGTTGGTTGGTGATTGGCCAATCTCTAACATGCAGCTCATACCAGATTGTACTGAAAAGAAGACAATGTCAAGTTAAATCATGTGACTAAAATGTTTTTGCGTAGAAAAATGTCTAGAATAATCACTGTGTGGGCACATGGCTACATTCATTGCGCGTCATGCCGTTTCACCAATCTGGCCACTGTGAAATAAATGTTGTCAAGCCAAGATATTTGTGATTGTATATTTGCTTTCAGGTTCAGAACGCATCTGCATTCATCACCATGAACATTTGGAATGCTAGAAATTACACAACTCTTGCTTTTTATCGAAAGATTAATATCAAATAGGCGACATTCAATACCCAAAAGCATAAACGTCAGCAGCTTTCGAGAATGGCAGCCGGTCCTCAGCAACCTCTGGGCTCATCACACGGACAATCTCTGGTGAAAGGTAGTTGATCCACCCTTGGGGTATCTTCAACACATTCTTTCTTCTATAAACACAAACATATATGTATCACAATTAATGTAGCTAAAGCGTAGGCACAATCTGTATGCCTGAATTGCATTCTTACCTGCCTTCTTGTACCACTCCGGCCATCCCAAATAGTCCAAAATCTGTTATAACGACTCTGTTTGAGTCATAAAACACATTCCTAGACTTCAGATCTTTGTGAACTATGCCTTTGGCATGCAGATAGCCCATTCCCTTTGGGAGAGATAAATATACAAATAATACAGAACATACTTCATATAAACCCAAGTCCAACAAAGTTTGGAAGTTTAAAACAAATATAACGAGAATACAATGATTTCTTTCAAACTCTTACAATGCATTCATCCTACATTCAGCATACATTAAACCTATTGAATACACTACAAAGACATTTAATGTTCAAACTGATACTCTATTTCTTGCAAATTGTGATTTATTTAGAATTTCATGCATGTAACACCTTCCAATAACATGGGGGCAGAATCACATTCACCAGTTACCGGTACATCACATATTTGCTTTAACAACACTCAATAACCATTTGGGAACTGAGGTCACAAACTGTTGAAGCTTTGTCGGTGGAATTCTTTTCTTTTCTTGATTTACAACTTAAGTTGCTTAGGAGTTTGGGGTCTATGATGTCAAATTTTGCACTTCATAATGTGACACACGTTTATTTTCAATGAAAGACAGGCCTGGACTGCTGGCATACCAGTCTAGTAGTAACACTCCTTTCTTTGAAACCATGTGGATTGGCATAGTCATATAAAGTGTGTGTGTGTGTATTATATATACATATTATATATTTATATATACACATATACACACACACACACACACACACACACATATATATATATATATATATATATACACACACACATGTGTATATATATATATATATATATATATATATATATATATATACACACACACACACACACACACACACACACACACACACACACACCAAACCA